CAGGGCCAGCTCATAATATCAAGATTTATTACTTCCTTTTCTGGCTTCATTCTGTCCTTTCAGTTGTCAGTGCTGCTCTGCTAGGCTTTGCTCAGGCATCGTTTTCAGGAACTGCTTTTTCCCTACACTGTCTGTGGTTGGTTATTCAGAGACTCTTGCTCTGTACCTGTCCCCAAACAGTCTCTACACTTGTTCTGACTACTGTCTCCTTCCTGGGTGCTGGTGTTCTGGGGCACCATACTCTCTTTTGGTCTGGAGTAGTTGGGAGAATAACTGCAGAGGATTATGATAGAAGTAGTTAAAGTGTGCATGGATGAAAACCTTCATAATTCTCTTTTTAATTTCTGATGCCTCAAGCTTCATCTCTGCTCTGAGCAGGAAGATCTTATTCCATTTCTTCTCCAACATTTAATTTCATGATTATGAGGAATTATGTTCTGAAGCTTCTCTCACCTGGAAAACACTGGACACACTTAGGGAAATATTTTGGGGCCTTCCATTATTGCCCTGTCATGTCCTCTACACTGTGACTTGCATGTGCTGTGTTGTGCAGAAGGCCAGAGAGCCTTCATGTTCACTGTGGATGAAGAACTAAGGGCCAGAGTAGTGATGACTTGCCCGGATCCATATACTTAAGTAGCAACAGAGATGGATCTGATCCCCTGCCTTATTCTTAGGCAGTTGTGATTTTTGTTAAATTTTCTTTATTTATTTTGAGAGAGAGAGTGAGTGAGTGAATGAGCCTGAGCAGGGGAGGGATACCAAGAGAGGGAGATAGAGAGAATCCCAAGCACACTGATAGTGTGGAGCCTGACATGGGACTCAAACCAGGAACTGTGAGAGCATGACCTGAGCCAAAATCAGGAGCTGGACTCTTAACAGACTGAGACACCCAGAATCCTCTGTTAATATTTTTTTAATTAGTAAAAAAAAAAAAAAAAAAAAAAAAACCCAACCCTCATTTGCTGTGTTTAAAAAACACATTTTGACTCTGCTGTTAAGCATTTACCCTTGGGCAAGTCCGTTCACGTGCCCATGCCTTGCTTTCCTCATCTGTAAAATGGATTGATAACTATTTCATGAGGCTGTTTGAGGTTAAACAAGCTAATCCTATAAAACTCATAGTACATATAGCACCTGCCCTATAGTAACCACTAAAGTTATCTGCTTTGATGATGTTGACGATCAAATGGTGAAATGTCATTTTATGGATATATTTCACCAAATTCATGAAATTAAATTCTACACAGAAAATATTTAACTTTCCATTAACTTTAATTTTGCAATTGTTCTTGTATTCCAACAGGTACAATTATTTGTGTCACAACATGAAGTCACCGAAAAACCAGTTGCATTACTGAGTTCTGTAATTGTCACCACTGCTAAATACAGCTCTTTTCCAACACTGGCTCTTTCTTTGTAGTGCTTGCCTCACTTTTGAACCTGCTGCCATTGCAGGCTATTTTTTCTCTTTTTTGGGCCAGATGCATTTAGCTTAGAAACATCCATGTTTTCTCTCTTTTGATGATTGACACCATCTCAGTGCTTGGTAGTCACAGCATCTTAGCATCTGGCTTCTCAGTCTAGTCCTCCTGATATTGCAGGTGAAAATTATTATTCTTCAGAACTCTGGCTGATAGAGATTTTCTAAGGTATAGGGTCAAATTTCATGTCTTCTACCCACAGTGAAGGATATTTGTTGCTGTTAATATCCGTGCCTATTTGGAACAATTTCTGCATTGATTAATTATAAGTTTCCTATAATTGTGGTCTTTCCATAATGCATATATTTTTGTTTCCTTTTCCAATTCATCCTTGTGGCTATTTTTAGTTTTAAAGTTCTAGTAGTATTTAAGTATGTATTATTTAAAAATGATAAGAAACTATCAGAAATAGAGGAAGCAATGCGTGCTATGTTATTTTTTCAATACTTTAAGAACCTAGGAGTATAAGTTCTAAGATTTATTGTGTAACACTTTTACTACAGATATTTTTGAAATAATTTAAGTTTTATGTAGTACAGATATTTGTGCAATAGAGAGGTAAATTAACGTCATGATCCTGAAAAATACAGTAAACTTTCCCAAATGATTGTGTGAAACAAGATGCATATGTGAACATCTTTTCATATTTGATCAGTTTTATTCCTGATGGTCATAAAACTAAGTAAATGAAATGCAAAATCTTGACTGCAAGGTAATGGTTGAATTTTTACATACATAAAGGAGTCAGGGTGAATTTATGGTCTTATAATGGCTGTTGGCTGCTAATATTGTATGTATATTCTTAAAGTGATCTATAGCACTATGGCGAAAATACCGTGGGGACAAAATCACAGTTGGTATGCGCTGGGTTTGTTGATTTACCTCCCTTGGACATGTAAAATATTAACTGAGACTCCTTTCATATAACTTGTCTGTTTTCGTTCAGAATTAGATGTGTGCTCATCATTAGTCTACTCTTTGCTAGAGTGTATAAAATGGCAGTGCCAAAGTGAGATGGCAGTGTTAGAGTTGCAAACAGTCTTTTTATATTCTGGCCCATGTATTTCACTTAATTTTTTTTTTTGATTGAATATACTATTCCAAAATGTATCAAAATAACTTTATTACTTGATTTAGTTCTGCAAAACTTTCAAATCCTGTACTCTTTCGAATCACAATTAGACCATTAGAAATAAATGTCTTAGTTACAACTCCTAGGGCTTATTTTCCAGAACGTCCTAGAGCCGGACGTGTGGGATAGCAGAATGCTGTGGGACTTAACGGCCCCATGGAGCTGCCTCTTGTCTGCTCCCTTTGCTACTGATCAGATCCTGTCCTTCGTTACTTCCTGAGTTTCCCTATTTTAAATTGGAGTGTTTGGTTTTCTTCTTTCTGTTCCTACCTCTAGGCAGGAAAACAGGCATATTTTAATTTACACTGCAATTGTTGGGAGTAGTTGTTTACTTCAATCTTAGGTGATAAAATCTGCTTTTACAAACGGAGCATGAGAAAAAAGCAGACAACTTAATAGAGGTCTTTTAAGTAATTGAATATGTAAAAAAAAAAAAACAAACTCTTTAGAACTCTTTATAATACATCACCTTTTACAAACATGGTCAAAATCAACAGATTTCATCTATAGTGTTGTAATATATCAAAACCCAACTCAATGGACATTAATAGAAATTAATTAAGTTGCACTCCCTTTGTAAGAAGGCAATTTTTACAAGGAAATGTAATACCCTGTAGATTTCAATTAGAAGTCCTGCGTGTATTTGGAAAAACTATGTTGCTCGTAGCATGGCCATAGCCAAAAGACTGAATTCCCAAAGATGACTGGGGGAGCTCTTTCTTTTCTGTACGGTGCAGTGGCTGTTACATAGTGTTTGTCTACTCTGGTGTTCTCCTTATTTAGAATCTAGTCTGTTGTACTTAGCTTACCTTTTATAGCACGTTGACCTTGAGTTGGTTTAGATCTCTGATTAAAGAATCTGACCGATGGGTGTGCTTTGCTATTCTTACCTGGTTATACAGTGGCTGCCTTTTTTTTTTTTTTTTTTTTCTTTTTGGCAATCTCTCAGGGCAAGAGAACCAGGCAGTTAAAGTTTCCTAATCATTAGTGTTTCTACCTATAAGTCTAATATTAGATGCAACGAAATTCCTTTCATTTTACTTGGAATAGCTTGTCAGATACTTGATAGAAAACTTAATTTTGAAGTCAAAAGCCTATCTAAGAAGAATTCCTTTGGATTTTTTAAGCCTATGACTTGATCTAGTCAGATTACTGAAAAGCTATGTTCTTGGGTTACATTTCAGTGTCCCTCTGAATAGATGCTTTAAAAGCTTTACTCTTATTTAATATAGTATGCCCTTGCCTTTTATTAGGGAGTGGGTAAAGGGGAGGCTCTGTGACAATCATTTCTATTAGCTTTTGTAATATTGCAGTTGAATTCTGTGGGCTGTGTTAGTTCTTCTCCTTTATAAAGATTCATTTGGTAAAGGCTTAGGGCTTTATCCTAGAAGAATTTCCTTCTTGTAAACTGGCACGTTATTTGTTTTCTGTGTGCTTTATATAAAGCTCAAAATTTTCCCACTTTGAGAAGCTTTCAGAGAATCACAGAGCCAAATCGATGATAGCTTGGGTATTCTGTAAAAAACTTACTAATATTTTTCTTCATTCATTGGCTCATGTTCTTGTCTCATTATTATGGTTGGCTTTGATATCTTTTCTGGAAATAGGCAGTATGTAAATAACCCAATGAGCTACATCATCTAATTCTGAGTTCTAGCATGAGTATGTAGCCACATATAGAATTAGGAAAATAACTTCCTTTTCTTAGTCCTTACATTCCTGAGTAGGTTTTTTAAGACATTACTTGGAAATCTCCTAAAGCACTACTGTGGTTGAGTGAACTGTTTCAGCTCCAAACCCAGTTCGACTTGCCGCCCTGTGGAGCCCTTGCTCCAGATGTCATCTCAAATCTTGGAGTTGAGGACATGCATACAGCCTGGAGATTTAAAAAGGTGAAGAAGTCAGTGGTTATCCCATTCCACTTGATAGATTGTAAAGTGATGATCGCCATCAAAGATTTCTGCCCTTAGATTTTTTTTCCTCCCCTACAGCTTTGAGAATCTGAGTGTGAATTTCTAAGCCCATTTCAGAGTACCCCCAAGAAGACGTTTTTTCCCCCCAAAGTATTCTTGGGATTACCTCGTTTGAAGTTATAAAAACTTTCTTGAAATTCCTTGTCAAATAACAGTGGCACTTTATTTTTGCATGGTGATTTATCTTCCAGGGTAATTGATGAAATATGTATACTTTGATTTACTGATTTACCTGAAGTAGGATAAAAATACCAAATGTTTATTGAAATAAAGAGGTAACATTTATTTATGTTGTTCAAACATTTTATTACTAGGGCCTATTTTTAATGAGTCAACTTATTATTTTTTAAAAAATTAAAATGTAGTTTTAAAAAGCTCGAGTCGTGAAACTTGTTGATTATTCTACCATAGGATCCTGGCTACTGGGTGAAGATTCATCACTTAGAATACACGGATGGAGGAATCCTGGATCCAGATGATGTTTTGGCAGATGTCGTTGAAGACAAAGATAAGGTAGATGACTAAAACTGTTCCTCTTTGTTTTCCTCTTTAGAGCTGTGTGTTTCCTAGAGATTGAGATCCTTAACAAACTCATGTGTCAGTTATTGTTAAAAGATACCATCTGTTCAGGTTTCACCTGAACAGCCTATAAATCAAAGTTCTTCATCAGATGCTTGGAAAAACTTTGTCAAGGTTTGGGAATCTGTTTATGGTGGCCTAATTAGCAGACACTTCGTTCCCAAGAGTTCCTCATGTGTCTTAGTAAATTAGTGTCAGGCTCTGAGGCTGTTGGAGCTTTCATTGCCATTGTTGGCTTTGGGGTTTATTCTTGGCCCTTGCTAAATATTCAACTCAATGCCTGTGATTTGAATGTGTTTCAAACTAGAGAATACAGTGGGGAGAAAAGTCTTACAAAGAACTATGGTGAAATTTTTTATTTTTTAAAGCAGCTGGCAAACAACGGTCTTTTGTGATAGTCTTTGTTTCCATTGCTAAAGTAAAACAAAAAACAAAAAAACAAAAAAGACCACTAAATTGACTATTGCAAAAAGGTTGAACATATTTTGCCAACTATTTGAGGATACTCCCACTGCAAATATCTTATTTTAGTAAGATTTTTCTTCTGATGGTAAACTGGAAAATATGAGAATAAACTGTTCAGTTGCCACACGCAGGATTTTTGCTGTTGAGACACATTGTATATTACATCTGCGTTGGGCTCCTCTTAGCAATGGTTGAGGTGTCCTCTCTAATTGAACTCCAGCCCACCTCTACGAGTGATCCTGGATTCAGAGTTTCTCCTCCTGTACATCCTTAGCACTGTTTGTTCTAGGCTATTTATGTGTGTATCTATGTTTCTCTCTTTTGCTTTTCTGCACTCTCAGGGAGGTGTGTGTGTGTGTGTGTGTGTGTGTGTGTGTGTGTGTTAACCAATTGCACCAGAATATGGAGAAGTGATTTATTGAACTCAGGTAAAATTTACATTTTTCCTTTCCTGTAAGATCTTTTTGGACTGTTCAAATTTACATTAGTCTTTGCCAACATTCTATCCATTTTTTCCCCTTATTTTTCTGTTGAGCAAACTCAACTCTGGTTTGCTGGTTTGCTTTGCATAATAATAACTCATTTCATAAGGGACTAATGTCCCTGAATAGATTGTAAGTTCCTAAAGGACATGGACCAGAAGATTTTTATTTCCTTTGTGTTCCTTGTAGTAATAATATCCAGTACAATCTCTTACCAAACTGAATTCTCAAAGAACACTTACTGAATTCATGAGTGAAAAAGAAACCTTTACTCTCTACACTTGACTCCCGGTGTACATGATTTTGATGCATACTTCGTGTTTATTGCTTGGTTTTACAGTAAATAATAACGTATTATTTAAGTTCCTAAACTTAAAGGACGACTTTGACTTCTGTGTTTCTGTTTCACTTCCTACTTTTCTGCAACCGTCTTATTTTGAAATAGTCTAGACATTTGGTCTGTTCGTTAATGAAGAAAGTCTTCCCTTCTCAGATTTCATTGATGACCGGTATATTAAAATTAAAAGTCAAAAAGTAGCAAGTTTAAGAAAGGCTAGAAGAGGGGCGCCTGGGTGGCTCAGTCAATTAATCGTTTGACTTTGGCTCAGGTTGTGATCTTGAGGTTCACAAGTTCGAGCCGCGTGTTGGGTTCTGTGCAGATAGCTCAGAGTCTGGAGCCTGTTTCGGATTCTGTGTCTCTCCCTCTCTGTCTGCCTCTCCACCACTTGCACTCTCTCTCTGTGTCTCTCTCTCTCTCAAAAATAAATAAACATTAAAAAAAAAAAAAAAAGAAGAAGGGCCAGAAGAAAATGTCTCACCCAGCCTCATGCGAGACCTAATTACAGGAAGGATGTTTTCATGAACAGTGCTCAGGGAAATCATTTGTCCTACAGAGCTCTTCCGTTTAGAGAATACTTTTTAACTCTCCTGGCAGTGCCCTTTTAAACTATAATCCATTTACTAGACAGAGAAACAGCTTTTATTATGTGTAATCTCTATTTTAAAGGGGCTTCACCACTAGTGAATCAGGTGAAAAAAATGAGGTAGTCAGTTAAAACCCTAGCAAAGGATGAGTGCTATCTGGGTGAAGGTTTACCCATTTCCTTAATGTGCTATTGCATTAAATACATGAAGCTTAATTGGTATTGTTTTGCAGAGTAGATGAGAATATATACTTTGGATATTGCCAGAAAAAATGTGTTCCCCTTTGCCCTTTTCAAAAATAATGTAAGTGAAAAAGAGCATCACTTTTTTTTCCCCCTGACATTCTCTCTGAAGTCTTAAGATTGTCTAATAGTTTATGTATCCAGTGTGGAAATAAGGTTCTGCCAGACTTTATTACTTTTTTCAAAGTTTAGATTAAGAAGTAATTATATGTGATACTTCTCAATGTTTAGCGATATATCAAATTCAGCCATATTATCTTAGAGATAATATGAAGCTTAGATAAAATTATAGTTCATCTATTTTCAAATTGGCTATCTAATGATCTCTTGGATTTAGAATATAGAATGCAAGCCCAAAGAGGCATGGATGGATGTGAGTAATCCTTGGCCAATGCCCACTTACCTCAACTCCTAGGAAAGACTTGCGCTACAGGTGAAAATGGCAATTAGGAACTTTTGATGGCCCAGCTGGAGAGGATGAAGCAGGAAAAACAAATTTAGAATCAGAAAGTGCTGTAGGCTGAGGCCATTTTGTGAGGCTAAGGAAGAGCCATCCAGTATACTTCTGTAAAAACTGAAATTGGGGGCTAAATGGTATCCTCACAGTCAGACAGTGGGATAATATACTGGAGTCAGCTCTTTATGTCAATGACTTTCAAAACTTCTGGTCCCAGAAGTGGTTTGTCTGGGAGCTTATCTTGATTATTCCTTGGACCAGCATGGCACGTGCTTTTACATGGTGCCTCTTTGGGAGGTTTTTTGTGTTAACTTGCTTACCCAGTAGAGGCCCCTCCACAGGGAGCCAAGTTTTTACCATGTTGCACTATATCTTTCCTATATTTTGTCAAAATATTACTGGAGCAGCTTTGAAATTTTGCATCTTATGGTAACTGATATTTGTATAAAATCTTATGGTGCAACTGAATTATACAGTTATAACAGGCATTCTTAAAATTCTCTTGTTTTATGTATCTGTCTGATGATCTAAGTTCTTTGGGATAAGTATCTAAAAATTCACAACTTTACACTAATGCGTCTTCTCTGGCTTCCCAAGGCTATGGACGTATTCACCCAATGACAGCTACTTAACATTTTATGGAACACCAATAGTGTCCCAGAATTCTCTGGCGATTATGTTTTCTATTTTAGTTTAGAGCGACCCTGCAGGTGAGAGCTATTTATTATCCCTGTTCCTAATTTCTGAAAATAGCCCCAGAAATTGTCAGTGACGTACTGAAGATCACAAAGGTAGTAAGTGGCAGAATCAGACTAGAATTCACATTTCCAAACTCCTTCGTTCTTCTGCAAAGTGCCAAGTAGTGTGTTGGGTGTTTGTATTTATAATTTCTAGTTATGAAAACTCATGAATTATGAATAAGAATGACTTTGTTTTTACATAGTTAGCACCACTGTTAAGAAAGGGTAGGTAATAGAACTATGGAGTATAACAAAATTAATTTAGAAGTAGTATATCATACAAATATAAATTCACCTCTCTTTGCCTGAAGCCTGCACCTAATTTATTATAAAGGTGTCTTACCTGTGTTGCCACCCCTTGTATCCTTCTTTTCAGGTCTCAGATTACTACTTTCAGGACCCTGTAGACTACACTTGTCTAACAACTATTTTCTGCTTTCTAGGAGAATACGTTCTGTATTCCAGTAACTACTTTTCAGAAAGATTGCTGAATGCACAAATTATATGCTGTGCTGTCTGTAGTAGGCAGAGTAATGGCCTGTAAAGATGTCTACTCCTGATCCCCAGAACCAGTGAGACGTATGTTACATGGGAAAAGGATTTTTGCAAATGTGATTAAGGACTTTAAAATGGAGAGATTATTCTGGATTATTTGGGGGGGCCCAGTGTAATCACAAGGGTCCTTATAATTGAAAAGAGGGAAGCGGGAGAGTTCATATTAGAGAGATACAATGCGAGAGAGAGTTGACTGTCCACTGGTGGCTGTAAAAAATGAAGCCAAAGAATGCAGACACCTTCTAGGAGCTGGAAAAGGTGAAAGAATGGATTCTCCTATACAGTTTCCAGAAAGAATACAGCCCTGCTGACCTCTTGGTTTTAGCCTGGTGAGACCCATTTCAGACTCCTCACCTCCAGAATTGTAAGATACATTTGTGCTACTTGAAGCTCCCAAGCTTGTAGTAACTTGTTATCACAGCAGTAGGACACCAATGCAGTGTCTTTTGTTTTATACTTTTAAAATGATGATGGTTTTCACACGTTTCATACTAACTGGGCTTTAACATTTTGTAGGACAAGGAAAAATCTTATGTTTCAGATTAGTCGATCACTGTGCATTCTTTCCAAAGTACACCGTAAATTGAAACTCCATTCACTGGGTGAGTTCTTGCTCTGTAGGACTTCAGTGTCATGCTGTTGTCTTGTGTAGGAATAATGTCAGGGTCACACACCCAAGCTTTGTAATAGTCACTTACCAGTTTCTCCTTATTATACATAATGACTCTAAGAAGTCTGAAGACTGACATTTAAAAGCCCCTGCAGGGGCGCCTGGGTGGCTCAGTCGGTTGAGCGTCCGACTTCGGCTCAGGTCACGATCTCATGGTCCGTGAGTTCCAGCCCCGCGTCGGGCTCTGTGCTGATGGCTCAGAGCCTGGAGCCTGTTTCAGATTCTGTGTCTCCCTCTCTCTCTGTCCCTCCCCCATTCATGCTCTGTCTCTCTCTGTCTCAAAAATAAATAAACCTTAGAAAAAAATTAAAAAAAAAAAAAAAAAAGCCCCTGCAAAGCTTATCGTTAGCTGATATTTTTTGAGTGTGAGAACCTGATTATTGAACTTGTATGATTGTT